TCATCGTCATCCCTCGTCGTAGTATCAGTATTGGTCGTCCTCTCCATACGAGTAGTAGCATCATTCTTCTCATATTTCGTAGTATCCGTATTCTTCTTGGCACTCGTAAAGTTCATACGAGTGATACTAGTAGTACTAGCAATCATTGTAGTCGCCGTATTGCTATTATTCGCAGTCGTCGTGATCTTCTCTGTCGTAACCGTCTCATTGTCAGTATACTTGTTCGTTCTAGGATTGGCACTGTTATTATCATTCGTGGATAGAATGTTCGTATTCAGATTCGTGGTATTACGATCACTCGTACTGTTGCTGTTGATAATAGTGGTAGTACTATCACTATTGTTCAACATACTGTATTATTGAACGAACACTGATTGGCAGGGCGATAGTAGTAACACTATCAAAACCACCAATACGAATATTACTCGTGGTCGTCCTCTTGACATTGTCATGCTTCGCCATTCTCCTCCACCTCCTGCTCCTGCCTTCCTCCACCACCTCCTCCTCATCATCCTTATCCTCCTCCTCCTCCTCCTCCACCTGCTTCGTTTCCTCCTCCTCCTCCTCGTGTTCCCCCCCCTCTCGTCCAACCGTTCATGCTCCCACTTCATCATTATTCATGCCGGTTTCTCCCGCCCCCTCCTCCTCCTCCTCCTCCTTGGACCTGAGTCCGCTGCCCGATACCTACACAACCATTCATCGAGGCTTCCAGGGCCCGACGGGGCATCCACGACTCCCATAACGCGCGCGCGAAGGCAGCGATCGGCAAGAGTGGCCCGATACAACGGATCCACTTTGCCATGGCATATGAAAGAGAGCGCGCGGCTCTTGCCCGACGTGCGAGGCTCGATGGCGGAGAGAGCCAGCGACCTGGCAGCCTTCAGCCCCCCGCAATTGCACCCCGTGACCGACGTGCCATAATTACAGCTTGCCTCAACACCTGCACGAGCGATCCAAGACGCCGCCTGCCGCTTCATCGTGCCAACCAAAACTGCTTCATCCTGCGGACCTTCCCACGAGCCTGGCGAACCTTGTCCTTGCGAGCATGGCGATCAATGCGCCTACCAACCGTAGCATCGACCCCAAGCTTACGCTCGTGCCGAACTGCAATGGCACCTGTGCTTTGGACCAGCTGTCTAGCAATCGACGACCGAGCCTCCGCATCGTTTGACAAGACCCTGGTCTGGTCAGAATTCCAGAAGAGATCAAATTCGGCTAGCGCACGCTGCAAGTCTCGCGTAGCCTGAACCAGGTCGCGACACACACGGGCACGTCCTCCGACGCGCTGCAGCAGGAGGTCATCCACGACCACCATTGGCATGACGGCCCTGTGGAGCCTATAGAGCGCTAGCCTCAGAAAGAGCGCTAACCTCAGAAAAGAAGTAGCCCAACCGTTTGTTAACCACACGGCCGGAGACCACCGATCCCAAAACCAGGAACTTCGGATACCTGTAGATATCGTCTCGAAGCCGAAGCTGCCGAAGGGGGAACCCAGTTTCCAAAATAGCCTGCATGAGCCAATTCTGCTGAACCTGTTCGAAGGCCTTCAGGAGGCTCACAAGAACCTGAGCAGTGCACCACATCTTCGGCACTCTCGACCCAGCTGCCTCTTCGGCGTTTTGCTGAACGGCCGCAGGTATGCCGGCCATCATCTCCGCCAGCTCCCCTTGCAGGTCTTCACACGAGGCTTCTGCGACACAGTCGTCACATGGCACTGACGTCGGCGACGGTTCCTGAACCGACATCGGGGATGACTCGAGACCACAAGCCTCGGAGTCACCCCTCGGATGAAACTCATCAGCCGTCTCCCGGTCCATGGTCCAGGCGCGGAGCCGAGATGAATGATCCTTCCTTTTCCGACGAGACAGATACTCCAGACTTCATAAGAAAGGGAGGGGGTCTCATTTCGGGGGGGGGTCTCTTCCAGGCTATCTTGGAGGGCCTGGGGGGTCTGGGGACGATGTTTTGGAGGGTTCTCCCACGGGGGAGGTCTGAAATGGCTTGTCTTGGAGGGTCCAGACCCCCTCCCTTTTATTACGAAATCTGGAGTACGTGATTGCCCACTTCTTCATCCGAACCGGACAGATCACGTAGGCTTGATGGACGCTGGACGGCAGTGGTTGCTCCTCCAAGCTGCTCGACCCATACCATCCGGCCTCTGCCTCCGCCTTGTCTGCGTCCGCCCGTGGCGTGCCACGACGGCCGGGGCCTGTTTCCGGCGTATCCCCCGACGACCGAGAAAAACTCTTGCTGATATCTTACGAAGAGCGCGAGCCAGAGCCCCTCACACAGTCAGGGGATTCGGGCTCAAAGCCAATAGTTTGGCTTCCTTTCGGGCCGTGGCATTGCTCTTCATCACTTGGTCCACCTTCGAGACGGGATGCACAGCTTCGTGATCTCGTGGTGAAGCTTTCAGCTGGTAACCATCAGTGTGCCGATTCATCATGGATTCGGGCATTATATTGGCCCTGTTCTTAGACTCTTGATCTGGATGTTCTTGTACATGACTATCTAGAAGTGGTGCCAGATTCCGCCTCGTAGGGGACGCACTTCCTGCCATGGCTAAAAAGTCCGCTAAGCAAATCTGCTATAGTAAGTCTGTGGAAGCCAGCCGGCCGAAGGAAGGAGAGCCAGACGTTTTTGTTCCTGTCAGCGGAAATCGCTGCACCACTGTCAATGTTAACGTTTTTAAAATGGCTTTGCCAAACCTCATTTGGAGGGAAAGTAAAGACGAAGCTTCAAGAGATAGCGAGGGAAGCGTTAGAAATGACTAGTACACTATGAACCCATGGGGTGGGCAGTACGCTGCGCACTTCCTTGCGAGGGCATCCTTTCTCCTCCTCCCTCTCCTCCACCTCCTTCTCCTCCACCTCCTGCTCCACCTTTTCTTTTCCTCATCCTCTTCCTCCTTCTCCTCCTCCTCCTCCTCCTCCTCCTCCGCCTCCTCCTCCTCCCTCTTCCTCCTCCTCCTCCTCCTCCTCCTCTTCGTCCTCCTCCTCCTCCTCCTCCTCCTCCTCCTCCTCCTCTTCCTCGTCCGCGTGATCAGCCTGCTGCTGTCATACGCCTCGAGCGTGATCGCAGCCTGCTGCATGCGCTGGCACTGGTCCAATGCCCTGTGCAACTCCCTGAAGCACGCGTGGTAGTTCCGCGCGGTAAGTTTGTCTCGCTTGGAGGGCCTCATCTGGAGCGCCTGGGCGCTCTCGCACAGGGCGAGGTCCAGTTGCAGGAGCAGCGACTTGAGGATTGCCCGCCGCCTGATGCACTCCGCCACCTTAACGCCCAATGCCAATCCCGATCCACCGGCGGCGTAGGCTCGCATCGCTCAAGACTCGCTTCGCTCAAGACTCGTTTCGCCCAGTCGCTTAGCGCGGCTACACGCAAGAGTGACCCTGGGTAAGAGTGACCTTGGGTGCGCGGCTTTTTGGGGGCCGCGGGGGAGCCAAACCTGGGCGCGCAAGCCGCTGCTCCTGCTTCGTTTTCAGCCATCTGGGGATCCATCTGTGCCCGCACCAAAGGTCACTCCGGCGAAAGGTCACTCTTACGTCTGGTCGATTAGCCTGCTGCTCGCGTCGCCTGGCTCGCCCGGCTCGCTTCGCCAAATGCTGCCCTCGCCCGCTACAAAGCCTGGCCGCCGGCCCGCTCCTCAGGGGCCGCCCCGCCCGCCCGCCAATGTCCGCCCGCCTGCACCTAACCGCCCGAGCGGCCGCCCGCCCGCAAGCCCCCGCCCGCGGGCGAAGCGAGCCTCGGGCGATGCGAATCTCGGGCGCAGCGAGGCGAAGCGAGGCGAGTCCGACCCGTTCCATCCGCAAGCACAGAGCGCCCCGCCGACTCGAAGACCTGGCTGACCACCTGGATCCTGACCGATCAGTGGATCAGCGCTCCACGATCGCCCGATCGTGTCCTGATCGTCCGGTCGGACGCGTTCAGGAGCGGGTGCTTCACAGACTCGAATCCAGAGCTTCTGCCCAGGCTCAGTACACAACATCAGGCGAAGGAGAGGAAGGAGGAGGATGATGAGGAGAAAGAGGAGGAGGAGGAGGAGAATGAGGAGGGTAGACGAGGAGGAAGAAGATGATGATGGCCAAGGGGACATGACAGCAATAGTAAGACTTATGATGGTGGACACGCGAAGAATGATGCTACATACTAATGTAAACTATGGGGCAGAAGAGAAGGAGGAGGAGGAAGAAGAGGAGGAGGAGGAGGAGGAGGAGGAGGAGGAGGAGATGGGAGAGGGGAAGGGCGTGCTGGAAGTAGTGGCAATGACACTGGAGTTCGGGTGACCCCACATAGCCGCTACGCGGCCGAAGGCGCACGAGTCGCTCCACAGGAAACTCCTCGTCTTCAGCCCGCCTGCAAGCACGCGCCCGCTCAGCCGTCGCATCTGGCGGCTCAAAACCATGCCAGCGGGCAACTCTCCCGGCGTGCGGCACGGGGACATCCGACGCCCCCAGCCGGACCGTCCGCATGCGTCCCGGAAACCCCATTTGGCATTCTCACCCCACCCAGTACAGCGCTTCATGGCCCCATAGGGACCTCCACCGAAGCCCCCAGTAGGACCGCCCGCATGCGTCCCACATACACACACAATTTGGCATTCCCACCCACCCAGTACAGCGCTTCGTGGCCCCATGGGGAGCTCTGCCGAAGGCCCCAGTGCTGCCGCCCGCATGAGTCCCCTCCACCCAGTACCACGTTTCGTGGCCCCGTAGGGAGCTACACCGACGGCCCCAATGCTACCGCCCGCATGCGCCCCCCCACCCAGTACAGCGTTTCGTGGCCCCGTAGGGAGCTCCACCGACGGCCCCAGTGCTACCGCCCGCATGCGTTCCCCCCCACCCAATGCAGCGTCGCCCCATAGGGAGCTTCACCGAAGAAAATATTCACAAGTGCGGTACCCACAACTGCATCTGGTTGGGTCCTTCGCCAGGAAGATGTTCAGTGGGGCAATCGCTTGAGACTTCTTACGAGCGAGCGACGACCATGTTGCGCAGCGCCTGCACGGATCGAAAGCGCACCCTTGTGGACTCGGGGCCGTCGCTGGATACGCCCGCGGACATGATGGGCCCAGCACAAATCGAGCCGCGCGTGCAAGGCCTCGACCCCGCCTGCTGCCGCCGTCGGTGGGAGCGGCGCGGCGCGAGGCTGCCCCCCGTGGGCGGCTGCGACGGCTCTTTGAGTGTCTTACAGATGAAAGGATGGAAGGCGGGTGCTTTACGACGACGGGTCTCGCCGAACATGGCAGGCCCACCAAGCTTGTGTGTGCAAAGGGAGGCGCCTCCCGCAGCGGAAGCAGAGCAGCTGCAGGGGCTTATGCGGAGAGGACTTGGGACGGCATGGTGTAGTTATTGCACCACCGTTGATGCAGATTGGGTTGACTCTGGCCTTCTCATCTCTCTCCTCCTCTTGCTCCTCCTCCTCCTGCTAATCCTCCACCTCCTCCTCCTCCTCCTCCTCCTCCTCCTCCTCCTCCTCCTCCTCCCTCCCCCTCTTTCTCCCCCTCCGGCCTCCCTCCTCCTGCCTTCTCCCTCAGGAGGAATGGGGGGACGCAGGCGGGCGGGAGGAAGGGAGGGGGGCAGGGGGAAGGGAGGGATGAGGGAGGGCGGGATAGAGGGAGGGACGGAGAGAGGGGAGGGGGGCGGAGGAGGGAGAGAGGGAGGGTGGAGCGGCAGGCGAGGCGAGAAGGGCACGACCCTTGCGCCTCCCAGAGGAGCCGAGGCTCGACGGGGAGGCCCAGAGGGAGAGAGCGAGGGGCGGAGGGAGGGGGGAGGGGGGCGGAGGGCGAAGCAGAGGGGGCGGCGAGGAGGCGCGGGCGGAGGCGCGGGCGGAGGCGAGGGCCCGTCGAGCTGCCCGCCCGGCGGTCCGCCGGGACGGCGTCGAGGCCCAGCGCGAGGCCTCGGCAGGGCGGAGTTGTGTCTTGGTGCATGAGCCGCTCCCAGCCGTCGTGTCCGCGGAGGCGAGGACGTGACGCGTAGAGAAGCGAAGCTGTCAGGGGAGGGAGCATAGGGGTGAGGAGGAGGGGGAGGAGGAGGAGGATGGAGGACGAGAGGAGGAGGAGGAGGAGGAGGAGGTATGAGGAGGAGGAGGAGGATGGAAGAAGGAGGAGGAGGGGGGTTGGGAGTGAGTGAGGAAGAGGCGGAGGAGGAGGAGGAGGAGGCGGATTATGATGATGAAGACGATGATGATGATGATGTGATGATGCGGAGGAGGAGGAGAGGAGGAGGAGAGGAGTTGTTAGGTAGGAGGTTAGGTAGGAGGAGGATATACGGATGAGGATCAGGAGGATGAGGTAGGTAGGAGGAGGCGGAGGAGGAGGATCAGGATCGAGACTGGACGATCGGCCGCCCGCGCGGAGGAGGTCGGAGAGAGGCCAGGGATGATGATGATGATGATGATTATGATGAGTTGATGAGATGATGATGATGTATGTATGATGTGATGTTGCTGGATTGGTGATGATGGTTGATGATGGTGATTGATGATGGATGATGGTGATGATGGATGATTGATGATGATGATGATGATGATGATGATGATGATGATGATGATGATGATGATGATGATGATGATGATGATGATGATGATGATGATGATGATGATGATGATGATGATGGTGGTGGTGGTGGTGGTGGTGTGGTGATGATAATGATGATGGGAGTAATGGTGATGCCGATGATGAGGAGGAGGAAGAGAAGTGATAGAGAGAGAGGAGAGAGAGGAAGAGGGTGAGAACGAGGATGAGGAAAAGGACGGGAGCCGCCTGAGAGCGCGCACGATCGGGCTGCCTGCACGGGACCGCGCCGCCTTCTGCAAGCTGCGGAGCAGCCGGCCTCGCCTCCTGCAGCACACAGAGGAGGCAGTGCAGGTGCCACGCGAGACTGCTTCGAAATGGACGCCTTTCCTCAATCTCAACCTCCCTGGGACCGCCTTCGGCTCCCCCCCCATGCCCGCCACACACGACTCGGGGTGAAAAGCCGGTCCTGGCGAAGGGGTCGAGAGGTCCCGCCTTTTTCACGACGCGATCGGGCCCCCAGGCATGCGACGTCCTGCTCTTTTCCACGCGCGGCGCCCAGAACCCCCGAGCCTCTCCCTGGGACCGGTTCTTCATCCCGGGGCCCGGCGAGGGCCTCCAGAGGCCCAAAACGTTAGGTCGGGCATGTCCCCCAACAGGCGGATTTTGGACGAAAAACTAATAAATACTCAAACAATACAATAAACGTACTCAAACATACAACAAAAAAACATCGTCCCCAGACTATTCTTGCTACTATTCTTGAACACTCCTCCTGTAGAGGGGCAGGCCCGCCTTGACGAAAACGGCGAAAAACCTGCGTCCCGAATTCTCAGCGACGCGACCCCGTCTGGAGGGGCCGAGGGCTGCCGAGGCCACCCCGGGCCGCCCCGCCAACGGCCGCAAGGGGGGCCCACGCCGAGGGCTGCCGGCGGGGGCCAGCAGGGGCCGCCAGGGGCCGAGAACGGCGAGAAGCCTCCGCCCGAGTGGTCTCGCCGCGTGGTTCGTGGGGGTTCTGGTGTTCTTCCCTGCCGCGTCGCACCCGCGTCTCCTCCCTCCCTCCCTCCCTCCCTCCCTCCCTCCCTCCCTCCACTCCCTCCCTCCATCTCCTCCTCCTCCTCCTCTCTCCTCCTCATTCCTCCTCCTCCTCCTCCTCCTCCTCCATCCTACCTCCTTCCTCCTCCTCTTCATCCTCTTTTTCCTCCTCTTTTTCCTCCTCCTCCTCCTCCTCCTCCTCCTCCTCCTCCTCCTCCTCCTCCTCCTCCTCTTCCTGGGTCCCCAGACCCACGCGCAACACATGCGCGGCACGTGCACGAGACACGCGTCTACATGCCGCCGCACGCATGCACACACTCGCAGACACGCACGCACGCACGCACGCACGCGCGCACGCGCGCACGCGCACGCGCACGCGCACGCGCACGCGCACGCGCACGCACGCACGCACACGCGCGCACAACACACACGCGCACGCACACATAACACACACGTCGCGATACGACACGATCGTGTCGCGATACGACGCGACCGCGCATCGCGGACGCGATACACGCGCCGGGGCCGGCGGGCAGCTCCTCGGGCGCGGGGCCCGAGGCCTCCCCAGCGGGCGGCGCGGCCTCGCTGGCGTCGCCGGGAGGAGCCGCTCCGGGCGGCCGTCGCGGGCCTGCGCCTGCGGCCGCAGCGGCAATGCCTCACAGAGGAGGAGGAGGAGGAGGAGGAGGAGGAGGAGGATGGATGGATGGATGGATGGATGGATGGATGGATGGATG